AAAACCCCACAGCTACACATACACTATATTGTCAAAAGTATTGGGACACCTGTCATTACATGCACATGAACTTTAATGGCATCCCAGTCTTAGTCTATAGGGATCAATATTGAGTTGGTCCACTCTTTGCCGCTATAACAGCTTCAACTATTCTGGGAAGGCTGTCCACAAGGTTTAGGAGTGTGTATGGGAATGTTTGACCATTCTATTCTGTGCTCTGTTGGGTTGATGTCAGGAGTCTGTGCAGGCCAGTCAAGTTCCTCCACCACAAATTCGCTCATCCATGTCTTTATGGACCTTGCTTTGTGCACTGGTGCTCAGTCATGTTGGAACAGAAAGGGACTATCCCCAAACTGTTCCCATAAAGTTGGGAGCATGAAATTGTCCAAAATGTCATGGTATGCTGACACCTTAAGATTTCCCTTCACTGGAACTAAAAGGGCCAAGCCCAACCCCTGAAAAACAACCCCACATCATAATCCCCCCCGCCACCAAACTTTATATTTGGCACAATGCAGTCAGGCAAGTACCGTTCTCCTGGCGAACTGCCAAACCCAGACACATCCATCGGATTGCCAGACAGGGAAGCGTGATTCGTCACTCCAGAGAACACATCTTCACTGCTCTGGAGTCCAGTAAAGGCGTGCTTTACACCACTACTGCATTCAATGTTTTGCATTACACTTGGTGATGTAAGGCTTGGATGCAGCTGCTCGGCCATGGAAATCCATTCCATGAAGCTCTCTACGCACTGATGTGGTGCTAATCTGAAGGAACACGAAGTTTGGAGGTCTTTAGCTATTGACTCTGTAGATAGTTGGAGACTTCTCCACACTGTGTGCTTCAGCATGCGCTGAGACCACTCTGTCATTTTATGTGGCCTACCACTTCGTGGCCGAGTTGCTGTTGTTCCCAGTTGCTTCAACTTTGTTATAATGCCACCAACAGTTGACTGTGAAATATTTAATAGCAAGGAAATTTCACAGATGGACTTATTGCACAAGTGGGAACCTATCACGGTACCATGCTTGAATTCACTGAGGTCCTGAGAGCGACCCATTCTTTCACAAATGTTTGTAGAAGCATTCTGCAAGTCTAGGTGCTTGATTTTATACACCTGTGGCCATGGAGGTGATTGGAACACCTGAATCCAATAATTTTGAGGGGTGTCCCAATACTTTTGGCAATAGAATGTAGGTTTAAAGTGGTTGTAAAGGTAGAAAGGTAAAACCTTCTGTGTGCAGCTATACTTCCCCAGGTCCCCTTATAGTTACCTAAGCCCGATCTCGATCTAGTGCTGTGTCCGAGAGTAGCAGTTCTCTCCACTTTTTCTCTACCCATACACTCAGAGAGAGCTGCAGGAGCCATTGGCTCCCCCTGCTGTCAATACCAGCCTGGTCAGTGTACAAACCATCAAATGAGAGGACTTAAGTGTCAAGACATTGACGTCTAAGACAGAGTAGTGGAGGACTAGTAGTCTGTGTCATCCAGCATAAGGACCAGGCCAGTTTCTGAAACACCAAGATGATGTCCAACAGAGTCCAACTCAGAGATCCTGCAGTGAGGAGAGGGGCCTGACTGTTCTGGGAAACCAGACTGAAAGCATGGGCATTGGTTCACCCCAGCAAGTGTGATCCTCTCGGGATCAAGGGTAGAAACCACCCTATTCACCTAAAATGACTGATGGGACAGACCAGGGACATTAATCATAGAGGCCATCTGAATGTCTTGATGTAAGCACAGGCTCCCAGCAATGGAAGGGGAGGCTGAAAAGGACCAAGAGCAAACAAGAGAAGGACATATGCTGAAAGGTTGTTTTCTTAATACTCTATAGAACCCTGGTGGGGAAGAGGGGGAAATTCCCTGACACATAAACGTGTCCAATTACATTATTAGATATTATTTTAGTGAGGGTTTATGTTGAATGGCTGCGTCCGTTGGTGCCCAATAGTTACTAACAATAGACACTTTTGAGGCCTTCAAAAGGGTTCTGGTTGCAGCAGTCCTATAAACCGACGCCTTTATAGAAGGTCTCTTAAGCATTCCACAATGGAGTGCCGAGAAACAGCACCAGGGTATACACAAGTTCCAGCACTGTAAGAGATAGCAGTTGTTTCTGAATGATATAAAAGGCCATGTAGATCAGGAAGTCCCTCTGGAGATGAGGGATGCTGAAGGGTACCAGATACCATAGGGGATTCAATAATACCCAGGATAAAGAATTCTCCTGAAAAGGGAGTGGAAGTCCAGAAAGGTTACACCTCCAGATGCTGAGTCACCACTTTGACAGGGACATAAGGGATCTAGGCTGTTGGGAAATGCAAGATGGGTAGATGTAAACACCATGCCATGCCAGGAAGACATTTAAAAGGTCTTTGCAGCTGTAGGAGATCTACAACACCCAAGACCTGAAAGCAGGCCTATCCTCAAAATGCAGGGTAATGAGCAATGCATCAATAAAGTTTGAAACATCACTCTGTAAATCTGAACAAACAGCAGGATACTGTGGTACCTCCTCAGAGATAGACAGTTGGAACTCTAAATTTGATTCAGAGGTAGTAACAGGCCACAGATTCAACCTGATTCAAGGGCTCAGAAAGGTCAGGAGACAGACTTTGCAAGGGATAGTACCAGAGTATACTTAGAGCCTCTGGGGACAAAATGCACAAATAGCAAGGAAGTCATGAGTGGACAAGAGGCCCCTGTATACCTTGGCCTCACCTGATAGAGCTGAGGAACACTCTGATGACTATGACCCTATAGCAGCATGGTTCCCAGGTTCTAAACTACAGGCCTTGGTTTTGTACTGGGTAAAAAAAATCCTATATTCCACTAGGGACATATGGGTTAAGGTTATGCATGACAGAGTGGCTATCTTCTATGTTGCTTCCACACAATGATAACTAGGTCCAATTTGCGGAGCGGTCTCTGGTACTTATAAATTCGGGCAACTGGTGCAGATGTAAGGGGGGGGCATAAAGAGACGGGAGACACACATGGTGCTTCAGGAGCAGGAACAGCAGCAGAATGGCAGAAAAGAGTGTGAAGCATGTGCCACATTCCACCCAGTGGATGACCACAGAATTTGGTTCCTCAGCCTTAATCCTTACCATGGTAAAACCAGCAGTGGTGGAAAATATGAAAAGGTGCCCAGCAGTGTAAACAGCGAGGTAGCGTCAGACCAGCCTTACTCACCAAATTCTCAGAGACAGGGTCATGACCTAGGGCTGTGCCATGGTTCCAGAGCTGGAAAGTGTTCCATGACTAACACAGTACACATAGGTCTGGAAATTGCAAAGTGCCCACAGGTCCCATTTCAAATTAGCCATACATGACCAGTTCAGGGCGGTGCAGGTATGGCCTACAAAATTAGCAGGAAGGAAATGTCAATCCAGATAGTTGCTATATAGTTTGCAGCTAAAGCTGCAATGTAGAAAGGAATATTTATTGAGTCCATGGAGCAAAGAAGGAGTTATACTGTGCCTGGCTTTGTATATTTACCAGTATCCCAACCTCCTGTAGGTGGCAGTATATTGTGTTTTGTTCTGAATTCATGTGTCCCTCAACTAATGAGAAAAAAAATATTTTTTTTTTGGAAATAAGGACTTAACCTGGTGTATTAGCTTTGTCAATTAAACTTTATGAGGATTTATTTACTAAGGTGAGAAAAGGTCTAGGACATGCAGTAACCCACACAAACCACATATCAGGTGAATGCTGTTCACTGTAGTCAGGGCAAGTAACTGTGTTTTACTGCACTCCTCATACTATGCGTTGCCGTTTTTAAGCAAAGAGTAACATTCTTCTGTTGCTAGCAAGACAACAATGCCCTAAAATATACTTAGGTGATAGGACAATAAAAAAAATATCTATCTGAAATAAGAGGCTTTTCATAGTACAGATTTCACTTGATGCAAAAATGTAAAATTTATTGTTACTGAAAATGCATTACCTTTTTCTTTTATAAATAGCCATATAAATATTTTTTACTCAACATTGACAACATACATTGTAAGGTTCAGCAGATTCCCCTGCAGCAAAAGTAACTGAATAGAGCAAGGTACGAAACTTTAAAGCATTTGACAACGGTGTTCAAACTGTTTTGCAGATGCAAAGTTAAAATACAGTAAGAGGCACTTTAGTATGGAAATACTGGAATGGAATACTGTGCCTTCTACATTCAATTTGTAGAGTCAGGCTTTTTTATGCAGAATACTAAATTGGTAACATGTTACTAAAATTGTAACTGGAATCCATTAAACTGCTCCTAAAGGGACTTGACAGACTGTATATGCACATTTTTGTAATTTCTTTCCCATTACGTTTACTGTTATAATTAAAGGGTAAGTGAAAATATAAGTTAAAGCCTCTATCCTACCCCACCTTGCCCTCCTAATCAATTTTTTTAAATCATATTACAGAGCTCAGATTCAGACAAATGATCCCCTAATTGCCCAGGCTGTTCACAGTTTGAAAGTGGTTCTGAGTTGTGTCACCCTGTTCTTCCTCAAGTCCATTTTCAGCTCAGCAAGCATATGCTTGGTGTGACTAACAGCTGCCCTGTATCTGGCTTGACAAATGTGCCCTGGTCTGCTATTTGCATTCTGCAATACATACTGAGTGAAATACAAAGTCAAGGAAGAACAGGGCACCAATAGTTGGAAATGCTGCCTGGTCTTTGCCACACTGTGTAACAAGAATATCAGCCCTGTATTATCATTCAAAAATATGATGAGGAGAGTGGCAGGATGCGACGGGACTTTAATTTACAAATTCAGCTACCCTTTAATACTGACGTCTCCTAGCAAAATATTTCCTGTCAGTATTAAAGGCAGTTACCTGGTTGAAAAGGCCTAGGACCATCTCCAAGTAAAGAGGCTTTCTGTGGTTGGGGGTGGGAAGACCTCGGTGGGTTCTGTTGGGAACTTCCTGGCTGTCCTTGGGGCACTGATTGTCCACGAGTTTCTTGAGGTAGTCCTAAATTTGTCCCTCTGCTTTGAGGACCTCTAATTTCATGAGGGCCACTAATATCTGGAGGTCCTCTAACCTCTTGAAGATTACGTATATCCTGAGGACCCCTCATATCTTGAGGACTTCGCAGGTCTTGAGACACATGCATATCAGATGATCCCCTTGAGTCTGGTGTACCCCTCATATGTTGGGGGCCGCGCAAGTCATGAGATCCTCTAATGTCACTTGATCTTCTCATATCCTGAGGTCCTCGCATCTCTGGTGGAACCCTCATATCCTGCTGACCACGCATTTCTGGTGGCCCTCTCAGATCATGAGGTCCTCGCATATCAGAAGGGCCCCTCATATCATGTGGCCCTCTCATATCTTGTGGGCCACGCACATCAGGACCACGCATTTCAGGACCTGCCCTCATATCCTGTGGACCACGCATTTCAGGACCACCCCTCATATCTTGTGGGCCACGCAATTCAGGACCCCCCCTCATATCTTGTGGGCCACCTCTCATATCCTGTGGCCCACGTATTTCTGGTGGTCCTCTTATGTCAGGAGGACCTCGCATATCCTGGGGTCCACGCATTTCAGGAGGGCCGCGCATATCAGGTGGACCTCGCATCTCAGGGGGACCACGCATATCCTGAGGTCCACGCATCTCAGGGGGACCACGTATATCCTGAGGCCCTCGCATGTCAGGTGGACCTCGCATCTCTGGAGGTCCCCGCATGTCTGGAGGACCTCGCATATCCTGGGGACCACGTATATCAGGGGGAGCTTGAATATCCTGGGGTCCATGAATATCTTGGGGACCACGCATGTCTGGAGGTCCTCGCATATCTGGGGGGCCACGAATGTCATAAGGGCCTCGCATATCAATAGAGTTACGCATATCAGGTGGCCCTCTCATGTCCTGAGGACCTCGCATGTCTGGTGGCCCCCTTATATCCTGAGAGCCACGCATATCTGGCGGTCCTCGCAAGTCTGGGGGACCCCTGATATCCTGAGGTCCATGCATATCTGGAGCCACTCTCATATCCTGAGGAGGACCTCTCATGTCAGAAAGGCCTCTCCTATCTTGTGCATGTACTTCAGGAGGTCCTCTCATATCTTGAGGTCCACGCATTTCTGTAGGGCCTCTCATATCCATTGGTCCATGTCCAATCAATGGTCCAGATGGACCTCTCAAGTCTTGTGCTGGATGTCCCAAAAGCATTCCTTGATTAGGCCCTTGATTATCTCGCAGTCCATGAGGGCCTTGGACTCCTCTAGGAGCCACCCCCATAAGTGGCCCCTGAGGACCTGGTGCACCTTGCATGCCATGATGAGGGGCCTGTACTCCTAGAGGACCTGGTGTCACTTGAGGACCCATATGACCTGGAGTGGCCCAGGAGTAGCTTGAGGACCCTGTGGTCCCATTGGTCCATGAGAAACAGGAAGTCTGGGCATTCCAGGATGCATTTCTTGAGGTCTTATATTCTGTGGTCCAGGAGCCATGAAACCCTGTGGACCTGCGGAAAGCTGAGGCCCTTGTGGTCTAAACTGTCCTTGAGGGCCAGGTGGCATGTTCATTGTCATCTGCTGGGGTGGAAGAGGTTGCTGGAAACTTATTGGAGGTTGAGTCTGTGGCCCAGGTGGAAAAGCAGAAGGAACCTGAGGAGGTACGCCCAAAGGAGAAGCAAGTCCCTGTGCCTGACCTGGAGCCTCTGCTTGCTTCTGGGCAATTCTTTCAATTTTCAGTTGCTGAAAAGAAAATAAATCCATGAATGTATTAACTTGCAACACTAATAAATTAAATAGAACACACTTACATCAGGACAATTCCACTAACTAAATGGACACAATTTAAATGGTATATATTGTAAAGATGGAAACCTTGGTGACAGTCTACTTTCGTTACGAGAGAAAAAAAATGATCCCCAGGTCAGCTATATACATTGAGAGGATAATAGCAAACATACTGAATTGCTGAAGAATCACAGTGCTCTTGCTAAAATATTTGTTTTAATAAGTAGGGGGCCTTGATTATCATCACACCTTACCTCAACTATCACCACATAAATCAGTCCCTTGCTCTCACACTCCCTGATGAGTTATAGAAGAAAACACTGTACCCTGGATAATTGTCTTAGGACAAGCAGCAGATATTCATAAAAGATAGCAATACCTGTAAAACAGATTTGACCTCCTGTTCTGTTTTAATGTGCTACAAGCAGTGAGTCAATTAAAAGAGCACCGAGAAAGAGAATCAGGGAAACATTATCTACAAACTGAGTGGTGTCGCATGGAAATAAACTATAGAAAATCACAGTTGCCAGAAGACTTAAGTGGAAAGGGTAATTTTTACTATCATCATTGGAAAACAAACATACTGTGTAGAAATTGAAAGGTTTCCCTTAGCATCAGAAAGAATAAGACTAACACGAATGCTCTGTCCTTGAGCAAAGATGAAGACTCCTATGAAAACTAGCCCTCCAGTTCAGAAATGTCTGAAAAAGACATGGTAAAGCAAACAGTGAAGCAAACCAAAAAAAAATCCTACCAACTAGAATTACTAGGACTTTAAAAGGTACCACACCAGAAATTAAATAGAAAACCACATATATTTTTATTGTACAAAACTTTACATTTAAAAAAAAACAAAAAACGTGTATTTTAAAGTTTTGTACAATAAACATGTACAGTATGTGTTTTATATATAATTGTGGTGTGGTACCTTTAAAGTCCTAGAAGTTCTAGTTGATAGGGTCTTTTTTGGTTTGCTGCACTGTCTTATTTAAAAGGATGTGGTAGCAGTAAAACTATTTGGACGTTGAGCCTGCCTTGTGCAGCCTCCTTACCATTTTTTTCATACAGTGTTTGCATGGTACAGCAAACAGCTCTTTCTTAAGGCTGAAAAAGGTAGGAATCTGCAACAAAGTTTGCTAAAATCCCTGCAAACTATACAGATGATGTGGATAGGATTGTATTTGTTCATAAAAATGTTTCTTATGACCAAATATGTATGACTGATAAATTACACACATATACTCAAGTAATTCTCTTTAAAGCCTAGCCCCAGGCAAAACAAATGATCCTTGCAGTGGGACTGTGCTTGTAATTGCTGGTTTTTGTCTAGACTAGTAAAAAAAAAATTTCTTATCTCCTCCTCCCAGCAATTAGATTGTGCCCCACAGCTTCTTCTCCCTCAAGCTACAGCAGTCTAGGACCCTGACATCAAGACCAAAGTAGCATCCATAGCCATGCAAAGGACTTGATAACGCCAAGGGACAGACAACCATCAGAGTGTGGGGGAGTGCCAGGATCAGGTAAGCAGAACTGTTTATTCTCTCCCCTAGACAAAATGAGCTATTAATCCCTGAAGTGCAGGCACAGCCCTGCTGCAGGGGATAATTTTTTAGTTGCCCAGAGTTGGACTTGTGTTTCATTGTTTTGGTTGGAGCAGTTAACTAAATAGGAGGTACACTGCATATGTGGAAAATTTGACATTTGTAAGAGATACATCTACAGAAATATTTTTGTGCCCACTCATCAAGTATATAAGCAAAGAAGATTCATATCCTATACAGGAAAGAGCTGTGCAATTAGTTTTTAACTATATAAATAGGATTTTCTCAGAAGTAACAAGAAAGCACAAACACATCTAAAGCAAACACCTTCTGTTGTATTGTCCATAATCTTATTGACTAATATAATAAGTTGAATTGTAATAACTGGCACATGGGAAGCACATGATAGCTGGGACTTGGTCACATTCTCATATGGTTGAGGTGCGTAAAGATTGGCCTGCCCAGTATGTATGTACAGCCAACAAGTCAAGACTAGCAAGTGCTCACATTTACACAGTTATATTCACACTGTGCTCAGTTTAGCAAGTGATTCAGCGAACTAGGTCATATTTATAAAAAGAAAAAAAACAAAAAACAAACATACTTCCAACAACTGGGGGTTAGTATACTGTAGTGCTGCCATTTCCTGCTCAATCTCAGCCTGGTTCTTTTTCTTCTCATCAGGTTTCACCTCTTCTTTCCGCTCAGGAACAACGTCTGAAGATGGCATAAGAGGTACTTTATTCTGCAACCATGCCTATGTAAAAAAGAGACAAACTGGTCATTGCTGGTTATAAGGTGACCTGATAAATATAATGCTATTGAATGTAAATTGTGATAGGGCAAGATCTTCACATCAGAGCCTCCACCTACACCTCACAACTACCACTGAATCTCCATTTTGTTTGCTGCTTGACTGATGTAAATCCATTGGGTAGAAAACCCTCTTAATGGCCCCCTTAATTGGGCAGAACTGAAAGTTCTCTTCTCAAAAGTCGCATAAAGATATTGGCTCCTGCTGCTATCAATCACAGCTAGTGAAGAGGGTGTATGGGCAGGGCCAGGCCAAGCTCTGTTTATCAACGGATAGACAGAGCGCAGCTTGGGACTGAACCCGCATGAGTGGTCCCATAGACAGCGGCTTGCTAGGGGGACACTCAGCAGGGGCGGGAGGGGGGTAGCCAGGAGCACCGAAAGGGGACCCAAAAAGAGCAGGATTGGGGCTGCTCTGAGCAAAACCATTGCACAGAGCAGGCAAGTATACCATGTTTGTTATTTTAAAAACAGAAAAAGTTTCCCTTTACAATCACTTTTTAAAACATCGCAGCCTTGCTATTCAAGCAGTTGAACAGACCGAATCCAGAAGGAAGACTGGGAGAAGAGAGAAGTTCCTGTGACAAACAGGAATGCTGACAGTGCAGCTCTGGAAGGCATCATTTGACAGGTAAGTCTGCCATAATTAAAGTAAAAACAATTGGGCGAAACTCCTCATAATGGCTACCTCAGTTGAGCAGAACTTATCTGCCCAAATTCAAATTATTCAAATGTACGTTTTGGTTTATCTGTGCTTATAAACCCCAATTCCAAAAAAGCTGGGACACTGTGTAAAATCTACATTAAAAGCAGAATGCAATGATTTGCAAATATCATAAAGCTATATTTTATTCACAATTGAAAATAGAAACCATATCAAATGTTTAAACTGAGAAAATGTACGATTTGAAGAAAAAAATAAGGCAATTTTGAAATTGATGTCAGCAACATGTCTCAAAAAGTTGGGACAGAGCCATATTTACCACAGTGTAGCATCCCGTCTTCTTTTAACAATCTATAAATGTCTGGGAACTGAGGAGACCAGTTGGTGTTTTGGGAGAGGAATGTTGTCCCATTTTTTACGGATATAGGATTCTAACTGCTCAACAGTCCTGGGTGGTTCTTTGTCATATTCTTCATTTCAAGATGTGCCAAATATTTTGGCACGCCCCTGACAACATCAAGCCATGCGGTCGCTGGCCAGAATGATTGCTACATTGTATCAAGATTGCTGCAGCCCCGGGATTGTTTTGGGGCTATTTGGCTTTCCTCAATTGCAAGTGCAATAGATACTTTATAAATATTTCTTATATAAGGACATACTGCACCATTAGCTTTTGTAACTTGCATGACCTTACTGGTGGGAAGCAAGGCTGGAGTGGAACTGAAAGTTGGAATATTGCTGACATCCATTGTGGATGTGTTTGGGGTTAACCCCTAAAGCTCTGCTGGCTTTTCATTAGTTTGAAAGCCCAACAGCTCCGGTAAGTACTCCTACTCACCTTTGTTGACACTAGGAATTTTGAGGTGTCACTTCTTCCTCTGGTCTCATTGGATGAGTGGGTCCTTTTTCTACCTTTGATGTTTGAAGCACTTTATATTGTGGACTTGAGCATGGTCATTTATGGTGGACCTTTTTTTTTTTTTATCACATTTTTTATCACAGAGTTTGGTTTAGTGCTGCACTTTCTATACTATATATTTTGAGGTTTTTGTATCTTTCACCTGTGCCAGCTGCTTTTTATTTTTATTTTTCAATCCTAGAGCAGACATTTATTTGGTTATAATGTGATTTAGCATTGTCCTGCTGAAATATGCAAGGCCTTCCCTGAAAAAGACGTCATCTGGATGGAAATATATGCTGCTCTAAAACCTGGATATATCTTTCAGTAGTGATGGTGTCTTTCCAGATGTTCAAGCTGCCCATTCCACATACACTAATGTGCCTCCATACCACCAGAGATACAGCCTTTTGAACTAAGCGCTAATAACAAGCTGGAAGGTCCCTCTCCTCTTTAGTCCAGAGGATTCGGCACCAATGGCTGCCAAAAAATGTCAAATTTCGATTCGTGTGACCACAGAACAGTTTTCCACTTTGCAACAGACCATTTTAAATGTGCTTTGGCCCTGAGAAGACAGTGGCATTTCTGGATCATGTTTAGATATGGCTTCTTTTCCCAATGGAGCTTTACCTTGCATTTTTGATGGCACAGCGAACTGTATTCATAGTCAGTGATATGTGGAAGTATTCCTGAGCCCATGCAGTGATGTCTATCACAGAATCATGGCTGTATTTAATGCAGTGCTGTCTGAGGGCCCAAAGATCACAGGAATCCAATTTTGCATTTTGGCCCTTTCTCTTGTGCACAGAGATATCTCCAAATTCTCAAAATCTTTTGATTATATTATGTACTGCAGATGATGATATATTTAAAGCCTTTGCAATTTTATATTGAGAAACATTATTCTGAAATTGTTCAAACATTTTTAGACGCAGCTTTTCACAGATTGGTGAACCTCTTCTCATCTTTTTATACCCAATCATGTTATGGAGCTGTTGCAAATTAACATAATTAGTTGCAAAATGTTCTTCTAGCTCTTCCTTGTTAGTACCACTTACTTTGCCAGCTTTTTGTTGCCCTGTCCCAACTTTTCTGGGAAGTGTTGCTGCCATCAATTTAAAAAATATTTTTATAAATTGTATATTTTCTCAGTTTCAACATTTGATTGGTTTTCTGTTTTCTATTGTGGATTAAATATGGGTTTATGAGATTTGTTTCATTATGTTTTTATGTAGATTTTACAAAGTGAAAACTTAAAAGTGGTCCTAAAAGGCACAAGGTTTTTTACCTTCATTCTATGCATGAAGTTAAAAACCTTTGTGCAGCAGCTCCCCCAGCCCCCCCTAATACTCAACTTTCTAAAAATGTTATAAAAATTATTTTGTACTAACTTGTTGAAACTGAGCAGGGATGGGCTTTGCATATGGAACCTTCTTCTGTGGAACTTTCTTCTGGTCTTTCTGCATCAATTCATCCATTCCCCAGTCCAAACCAGGTATGGTCATCTCCACTGCACTTGCCTCTTCTTTCCCTAAAAACACATAAAGGCATGTTACACACAGTATCCAACACAGATGAGAAAACAACAACTCTTATATTTCCTTACCCATCTGTTCTTGTTCCATTGCTATTTTCAGTTGCTCTGGAATACCCATTCCGGGAATAATTGCAAGATTGTTTGGCTCAACATCATCTGAAGAGGAAGATATCACATTATATTTATTAGTGTTGTACAAGTTGTACTGTATACTCCTGCTCTTAATATAAGAAAAGGAAAACAAAGAAAGATTACAATACAAACTCATATATCTGAAGATAGACACAGCTGTATGTTGGCTGCACCAACTAATTTTAACCACTCCCAATTAGATTGTAAGCTCCACGAGCAGTGCCCTCCTATTCCTTCTGTACTGAAATGTATTGTAAAGCGCTGCGCAAACTGTTGGCGCTATATAAATCCTGTATAATAATAATAATATCCATGGTTACTTTGTGTTTAGCATGCAGTTGAGAAGGTTTACAAAGTAAAAAACAAATATTGAACAATTTCTGCCAATTATTTAGAAAATACTCAAAGTTTCCTAAATATTTACTATACTAACTACAAAAAAAGAAATACCTAATTATAAAATCTATATTCTGAAAAGTCCACACAGATTTAAAAAAAAAAAAAAAACATTCACAAAGAGCAGAAATTGCCCTTTTCACAGCCTAAGCTAGTCTTTAAATGTCTTTTCTAGAATTTGGGAACACATGGTTCAAAGAGGGTGACCGGAATCTGTTTGCCAGCATTGTGTGTCTCCAGCCACATTAATAAAATACAAAAACACAGGGTCAACAAATATTAATATTGTAGGTAGTGCAGTCACCTAACACTAAACACAGATACCAAGTAACATTGCAAAAGACAAAAAATACTGGGGACTGGAGATAGTTACCATATTCCACACCATCCTCTGACATGCCAGGGAGAAGGTTCAGATTGTAACGGTCTCTCATTTTGTCCCCAGGACGATTTCTAGTCCAGAATTTGCTAGACAAAAATTTAAGATAAGCATCATTCACATTAACCATTGACCTTCTTTCAAGTAGGTGAAGTATAACCTAATGTGGTATGCACACCCCCTATGAATATGTGCTATTGCATGAAACGAGTCAGCGAGGAGCTACAGCATCAGGACACCATGCCGCCGGCACCACGTTGGTCCTGGTGGCCATCTTGGAATACCACTACTAGTCAGTGTGATTTGTTTACTTCAGTTTGGTTGCTATAAATTACCCCCTTTTTAAACGATATCACGCTATTGGCCTCCTCTTTTTCGGGCTCCTTGGGAGCTTTAACCATCCACAGAGCGGGGGGGGAGCATCAATACTGGCAGCAGATGTCGGAGAGTGAGGGATACCAGGCCTGACCAGACCCTGAAGGGATCTCCAGTTCTCTGAGATTGATATCTCTAAATGCACAGATTGATTACGTATCTGGTGAGTGTGCAATCTTTATACCTTGGGATTCATCACTGTCCTATTTGGATCAGATTACTGGATCCTGAAGATCGTCATGATCTCCCACGCACCTTAAAGTTGGACTTTCATCTGGCACTTTGCACATTATTAGTCACTGCATAGTGACACATTAGAGCACTGTTCTATCACTTTATTTATTGATGTGCTTTATTATGTTTTATTCATCATATAGCTGGTTTATTTGAGGTGTTTACATGCATTAATGACACGTTTCTCATGCTATTTTTAAGTTATTTATTCATTGGATTTTGATATTTTCGGGTTCCACCCATTTTAACATAATTTTACCTGGTTATTTTAGCACTACACCCTGCTGTTTATTATAACTTAAGAAGCATACCTGGTGTGATCATTGGATCCAGAGCACAGAATATGTCCAAGAGGGTGCCAAGCAAGACTCCATATCATTCCTTCATGAGCTATCTCCATACCACCCACTTCTTTCTCCACCCTAAGATAAAGGAGCAACATATATGTCAGTGCACTGAGAAATCCAGGGTGACCCACTATTAGGTACACACAAGAACTACATACCCAACATGCCAGAACAAAAGAGAACCATCAGAGCCACCACTGGCAAAAAGACCTTCATGTACTGGATGCCAGGCCACAGCTAAAAGAGGTTTAAGAGTTAACATCAGTTCATGGTTCTTTAGTCAAGAAAAAAAAAAGCACCTGCTACAACCAACCAGATTCCATCAGATGTAGTGATCTGATGTCAGTACATTCTTTTTGGCGTTTGTATGTCACTGCACTTTGCTTCTTGCATGGTTTATTGACTAAGAATGTGGGTTTACTTGTAAAAATTAGAAAAAGGATAGACTGACCTGTAGCTTCTTTTTTGTGGCCTCTGAACACTTGCAGTTCTTCACGAAGGTTGCGAATATCAAACAGTTTGCAAAGATGATCACGCGATGCTGTAAGTAACCAGTTTCCATTCAAATTCCACTTAACCTCCATTACAGTATTCTTGTGAGCATGTCTATTTGGGATAGAATGGAACATGTAAAATGTTTCTCAGTGATCAATTTATAAATGCACATGTAGATACCTGGTGCAGTACGAGAGCTGGAACCATTCAGTTTTAGTTTTCTACTCTTGGGGAATACGTATTTAAATGAATCTGACTAAATGTTACAAAAGCCTTACTGTAAGTCTGGTCCAAATTTTATTTTTTTTTTTCAAATTTCATCATTTATGCCCAAGGTAGTAAACATTGTCCACTTGACCACCAGAAGATTTACCCCCTTCCTGACCAGGCCAATTTTTCCTTTTTGGCACTGCGTTACTTTAACTGACAATTGTGCAGTCATGAAATGCTGTACACAAATTAAATTTATATCATTTTTTCACACAAAACACATTGTGGGAACCAGTGACACATACAGTGAGCAGTGCTATAAATATACACTGTACTAATGACACTGGCTGGGAATGGGTTAAACATCTAGTGCGATCATAGGGTAAAGTAGAACTATAGGCAAAACTTTTTTTTTCATTTGATAGAGCAAGGGAGGCTTATAATCCCTGTCAATTTTTTTCACTATCTTTGTCCCATTGCAAAGATTTCCCTTTATCTCCTGTCTCATAGCCAAATGACTAATCACAGCACAGCCAAAGCGCCCTACCCGGAAGTGCCAGATCACATACTGAATACAGGATCTGTCACAGGAGAACTGCTCTGGCGCCGTGCTCCTATGGGAGGTGGTCAGCAATCTGTTAAGGAACAAAGAAACCAACTATAGTGTTGACATCAGAAATAAAATTACACAGTGCCTTGTGAAAATATTTACCCCTTGGTGTTATTCCAGTTTTGCTCTTTTACAACCTGGAATATTTTATGGGCTTTGCACAATTTTTTTTTATTTTGAGACACACAAGACAAAAAAAAAAAAAAAAAAAAAAAAAACAGTCAGTGTGCATAAGTATTCACTCCCTTTGCTATGAAACACCTAAATAAAATGTTGTCATACTAAGTGCATTCAAAGTGTCACATGATCTCTCAAGTAATCAGCATAAGTGTAATACACCTGTTCTGATGGAATCCTGAAACCGCAACACCACTAAGCATGCAACAAGACCAAGGAGCTCTCCAAACCAGCCAGGGACAGAGTTGTGAAGAAGCATAGGTCAAGGTTGTGCTATGAAAAAATCCTACATTTTTAACATTCCGTGAAGCAACAATAAATATAATAAAACAAAATGGAAAGAATCTGGCACAATTACAAACATGGCAAAAGATGATGTGTGGTACAAACTCAACACTACCCTTCACCCGGAGAATGCCATCCTCAGTGAAACATGATGGTGACGGCATCACGTATGGATGATTTTCATCAGCAGGGACTGGAAAATTGGTCAGGATTGAAGGTAAAGTGGAGGGTACTAACTAAAGGGCAATTCTTGAAGGAAATCTGTCTCCCTCTGCCAGAGATTAGAGACTGGGGCAATGGTTTACCTTCAGGCAGGACAATGACCCTTAACATACTGCTAAAGATACACAAGAGTGGTTTAAAGTAAAAACTAAATGTCTCCCTGGTTCACACAGTATTGACTTTGGGTGATGAATACGTATGCACATTCAAGATTTTTTGGTCCTTAGTGTTTGTGTTAAAAAATATTTTGCAATTTCAAAGTTGTAGGCATGTTCTGTACATCACAATGCTCCAAAAATCAATTTTAATTCCAGTTGTAATGTAACAAAGCAGAAAAAACACCAAGGGGGGGGGGGTTAAGGAAAAGGACAATGCACATTTGTCCCAGGATTTCAAAGATTTTCAGATGCACTGGTGTTGTGGGGAGGTGGAAAGGTACTCTGAAGGGAATGTGTTGATTCAGAAAGTGCTTGTTGTGCACCTGTTGGCTATGCATATATATATATATATATTATTTTTTTTAATTAATTCTTTATTTTGGACCACACAGGAGAATACATAGCATGACAGACTACAGCTGGTGTATCTGAATAAAGAGATTACTGGTGTATATTAATTATACAATCTGAATGGTACAATTTAAAACGCAAGAACAGCAAATTACAATAAATTACATTTTAGCATAATTAGTTCCACCACTGCCTTTAGCATTGAGCTGTTCTGCGCACACCTTGTTGTAGGATTATTTATTCTGTGCGGCATCCCACCTGTATGGCCATAACTATTTTCTAATTATATGGGAAGGATGGCCTTTGAGGGTTTTCCCCTCATACCAGCAAGCTAACCTATTCAAAAAAATAAATAAATAAAAGAGAAGGGGAAGGGGGTGGGTGGCAGAAACCACAAGAGTAAGAGAGGAGGACAGGGTGAGTGGGAACAGAGGATGAGAAGAAAATGAGGAGTGGGTTGGTAAGGTGGGGGGATTGGTAGTACAGGACAGGGTATTGGGGGTGCCCATATTGCAATGGTCATAATTCTAGAAGCTCACCCCTTAGTCCTTAATTCTCTATATGATTAAGTGTATGTAAAACCCAGTAAAACTAGGTTATGGAACAGCTGTTTTTGTGTTTCTGTGATGCTGTTGAATCTGCTTTGCCTTTAGTTTGTTAGCTTTTGCACACCGTAATCTCATGGAGAAAGGTTTTACTTCCAGAGTGGGATACGTGCCCATGCTGCATTTATTAGATGTGTGATTAGAATGATTAGGGATTTCTTATCACAGTGTTTGAGGATGGGGGTCATGTGAAGGAGAAGCACTGCTAGGTCTGTTGGTTACTTTTCCCCCAGTACTATCTGGGCAGAATTTTAAATCCATAAGAATGAATATGTTTCTGTTGCTCTGTCCTGAAATTGATCTTATTTCCACTTTTCGAGAAAAGATGATGTATATGAGCCCAATGGAGTAATTAGCATAGTGTAGAAAGCTGCTAATGAATGTCTGAGCTTTCTGGACTACAGGCACAATTCCTCAAAGAGGCAGGCACTGTGTCGCATCTGATAAGTGATGATAAAGTGCCACAACTGCATAGCTTGCATGAACTGTGCCTGAAGATCTACCAAGTTTGGATCACCCGCAGGGCCTTTATTCCTTCTGGCTCTCTACAATATGTCAGCTGATATTGGTTAGAGCGGTGTAAAAGGAATACAAAGTTCTCAGATAGGCCTGGGGAGAATTTTAGGGCTTCCCAAAACAAAAATACTGTATGTAAAATTATGACCTTGTAGGTGGTCTTCTGTTCTATTCAATCACCCCAACCTATAACTGGCCTTTGCAGCAAGGAGCACCTGTAAGAGAAATGCACATCAAACAACAAAACAAAAATTCCAAGTTCACTTACCAGCCAGCCTGCAACAAACAAATTACCCTAATAGTCCATGTTAAAACAAGGGGTTTAGTTTGTACACATTTGCAAATATATGCGCAAGCTGCAGAATGCATGCCACGGCACCCCAGTGTACTGTGGTCCTAACTGTAAATTTTGCGAGTCTCCAAACGTTGGCGCACATATATAATAACCCATAGATTAAGGGCAGGTATGCATGAATTTATAGAGTTAGGACTGTAATACACTGGGGTGCCATGATGTAGTCTCTGCAGCTTACGCATATATTTGCAAATGTGTGCAAACTAAGCCCCTTGTTTTAACGTGAACTGTTAGACAGGGTAATTCAGTTTGTTGCAGACTGGCTGGCAAGTGAGCTGGGAATTTTTGTTTGTTGTTTTTTGATGCCCTGTTCTATTCATCCCTTCTAATGTGCTAGATAGGGGGTGGTTTTTGATTTCATTAGAACAGTTTGCCATTTAACCAGGGAAAACAAAGGTATTTTTTTCCATACTGACCCAGTGCTTTCAATCCTCAGGTGTACACTAGTCTAGTACCTTGGAGAAGTGTGCAGTCTTATGAAATAGAAGTGGATCTGGGAATTCTATGCCTAAAATTGCTTCCAACTTATTGCTAATTCTGCAAAATTTGCAAGCACAAATATTGCCTGAATTCTCTCAGACCAGTTTTTGATAAGGTGGGTGGTACTGCAAAAGATAAAGTAAATACTGAACGCATTCATTTTCAAATATTATTCCTTTCAAAACTATCAGTGCACTTACACCACTTTTTAAACATCTGTTTGAGCCTTGTACAGAATGGTGAAATGTTGGCTTTGAAGAACTAGTCCAAGAATTTACTGAGAATTCCTAAATACATTAATGGTGACACTTTGATATTTTAACGTGAACAAGGCGGATATGTTTGAAGGTGTATTCACATTTGGGCTGGTTTAACTGAACCTTGGCTGAGTTAGATTCTCCCCCATCCCCCGCTGTTTTGCACTCACACTACTTACAAGTGTTTCTGGGCACACTTCCCTGCTAACCAGACCAGTGATCCCTGTTTCACAACACAGTTTGCTATGGAGAGGACTGTGCTCTGGCACGGTTTGTACTCATACTGCAGCAAACCATACTGGATCACAAGTGAACCATGCATGGGACCTCCTGTTCCATGTGGTCTCAGGCATGGAACACTTAACTGGTCATGGGCACAGTTCAGAGTCCTCACACTACATAAAATGAACCGTCCCAACGGGCTGAGCCACGCCTGGGACCGGTTAAAAATGCTAGTGTGAGTGCACCCTTAAATAAATAAAACACTACTTAAAAAAAGTTCTAATTCATTATCAGGAGGTTGTTTTTTTCCCCCACTTTCAGTGACACCTGTGAAAAGATCAAAATCAAAGTTCACCAGAGAAAATATGAAGAATGTACTCCACAGAAGGGGAATGGAGGGTTAAACTTACAGCAAACATTAAATTTCAATGTTAATAGGCTCACCGAGATGGAAGAAATCTGGAACAAAAAAAGTCTAGATCCAAGGTGAGTGTTATCAGAATTAGTAGTCAAGAACTTTCCATAAACCAAAAACGTAAGCGTTTTTATCTAAAAATTCCTTGCTTGGTCATTGACTAATTAACTTACAGTGTAGCAAGACTCTGTCCATTCTTGGGATCCCAAAATTTGATAGGCTGTTGGCTATCTTTACTTCCAGACACCAGAAGTCCTTTGGTTGGATGCCAGTCAACGCATTTCACATCAGCTCCGTGTCCTAAACGTGCAACAGTATTTATTTATAGTAATAATTGTAGGCTAAAATGAATCTGGGCACCCTGCCAGGTTTTGCTAAGTCACATTCTATCATATAACAAAAGTGAACATTTCATATCAACCAGTGATATGTGAATCCCAGGGGCAGACAGGTTCAATTGTCACTTCTCCTGCGCTCAAGGACTCAGACCAAAGGAAGGTTATTTAACGAGCAGTGTGTTCATCCAATGCTGATCAAAGGTTGTGCAGCTCTATCATGAAGCTGGGGAAGCTTGATAAAACTGTAGAAAAGGATAAAAGAAAGAGCGCACCAACCTTGTGCATTACCTCAGTAAAAAATGAATAATTTTGATGTTCAAAAATTCATGTAATTTTTTGAGGGGAATCTGTGTTTTTTTCGATCAGCTCTGATGAAGAAGGGATCACCCTTCGAAACGCGTTAGATTTTATCGCCCCTTTGGATGGAATTTGCATGTGACTTGTAACCCTGTGTGGACTATTTTATGCCTGTTTTATAGCTACTCTTGTGAGTATATTTCTTTGATAAAATTATTCATTTTTTACTGAGGTAATATGCAAGGTTGGTGCGCTTTTTCTTTTATCCCTTTCTTCTATTGTCACTTCGGCCTGCTAAAATTATCTTTTTGCAGGTTAAGATTTTAGTAGGTTTAACTAATCTGAGCAGGTTTTGTTTAGTTTCAGACAGGATGGTGGTTTGAACATCACATAAAAAGAATTAAAGGGCACTGCCAATAAGTGTACACAAGAGAATGTAGAATAACTGCTAAAGAGAATCTAAGATGGCACAGATAAAACCACAAAATATGTGTTCATTTCCTCCAAATAGTAGACCATAGAAAAAAAAGCGAACTTCTGGCTGTTAAAGTGGAACTAAAGCCAGAAAAACATTATGAACAGACATGCTCTTTGTTGCAGAACAGGCATGCAATTCAACGCAGGACAAACAAGATGGCTGAAGACCAGCACCCAGAAGAAGCCGGGGAGAAGATACTGGTGCCAGCAAAGGACTATTGAGTAGAGGTGAGTAATCCTGACTTTAGTTCGACTGTAAGAGATGATTGGACTCAAAACAAATGCTGCTGAAATTTGTGTACACAAAATAATTATTTGAGTTCATGGACAAGGATTCTAACCATCCCCACTTGATCCAAAAATGAAAAGAAAAGCATTTTGGATATACAAACACATTAATTTGTCACAATAAAAATACGGGGCTGCCATTAGCGACCTCCTTCTCAATGATATAAATTTACTTCCCATCTTTGGTTTCAGTACTTCTGTGTCACAGAAAAAATAACATTCATGCTACATACAACAGACAGAGCAAAGGCAGAATATTACTCATCCTCCTACTTGTTTCAGGCCAGTGAAGTAAAGTACTGAATCCAAAGAATCAGAACGGTCAGGCAACTAGAATTTTCAGGTCAGCAATAACTGCATTAATTTAACCATTATCCAAAGGATGTAAACAATATTCTTCAATGTATAAAGCTCATCCTCAAAGGGTCTGTTTTGCTGTCCTACTACTCACTGTGGCCAATCTTAAGTTGGAAATATTGTACCCATGATCCCCTTCTGTCACGAATGTGTGCAAGCCAAAAGTTTATGAGGAATTGCTAACTGTCAGGAACAGGATTTGGCAAGATTATTTGTTCTTTATAGGATGTATGATAAAAGGAAAAAAAAAATTAAAAAATGTAAACAATAAGAAAACCACTATATACTGAGATTTATTTCACCGGAACTTTACTACTATTTTGAAGGTGTGTGTACGTGTTGTCTTTTTTTTATAAATAGGTACACAACAAATTCAGTATCTTCATTTAAAATTATTTTATTTCAGAGTTTTTGCAGTGTTAAAAACCAAAATGTTTAATATTCCCTTTGATTAATAAAAAAAAATATAACAAGAGAATACATTGCTGGTAATTATTCCCATCATTACAGTTTCTTAATACTATGCTAAAAGAAGTTACTCAATTGCATACACAATTTTGAATCAATGTATTTTTAAAAGTGCTACTCATAATCAGGGTCATTATACATAGAACATGCATGTTATTCTTCAACTCACTGATATGTGATTTTACTACCCAGAAGTGGTTTGTTTCTGAGCTCCGTCTTGCCACAAAAAAAGTCACTTCCTTTCTATGAAGCTTCAGTTTTGTTGAGGGAAAAACATATTTAAAACTACATACACATCATTTTAGAAAATGTTATTATAGACTCCCACCTCTCTCTGCTCTTTGTAAATCGATGTAAGCATTGCCATGTTTTTCAAACTTACTGCAAATTGTAAGGATGTACTGTTATAATTGCTGTCTGAGCATTCGCAGTATTGGGAAAAGCAATTAATATAGTAGCAAAGTTTGTGGTTTAAAAATAAAGTAATTGCTTTATTATGTTGTATATTTAAATAAACACATTGGAAGAGAAAAGTAAGTTTTTACAGCCCTTTAAGCATGCAAAAGTCATTAGTATTAAATATGCAGTCAACTGGGAGAAGCATTAGGTCAAACACTTGCAGAGAAAAAAAAAACTGTAGAGGTTTCTGGGGTGTTTTTAACACTGTGTACAGATTACCTTAGATGGCCATGTTGCAAGGAAACATTTAAAAGCAGAAATAAGGTATATATAATTTTATCACAAACACCCTGAAATGGTAAGTTAAAAATGTATTATTGTTAGTCTGTTACCTTTTTATATTATCCATATGCCATCTTCTTCTGCATTAAAAAGGAAGAAATAGGGCAGTGCTAGCATCCGAACTAATCATTGCCTCAAAGGAAGTTCACATAGAACTGCCAGGTACCAGTAATAGCGCAGTTCTATCCCTTCCTCTCTTTTATAAACCACTTGATACTTGTTTGGAAAAAAAAAATGCAGCTGTGAACATGAGAAGTAATAAAAAGAACCTTAAAAGCACTGACCAGTAGAACTCATATGGTGGCCATCACCCCTACAGCAGACGTGTGTTTACACGAAACGCGTCTAGGAGGAGCCCTTACACGCCTTGACTTCACGCCGCTGGATCAGGAGGTCCGGGGGCCACCATATGAGTTCTACTGGTCAGTGCTTTTATTACTGTTTACAAGCAGTTCCCTACCACCACCCGCAGTCACTGTCATGTGTGTACTTTTCTGCTTAAACTCGATTTAATAAATTGTTTTATCAACATTACTACACTATGACCACCTTTATTCTCTATACCTGGCACTGAGCCTCCACACCTCAGCCCCAGTATTTTAGGCATCGGTGCATATCTGAGTAGGTACGTTGTGACCAGACCGGTATTCTCACACACAATCGAGTGACCACCAGAGGATCATAAACACCAGGCAGCTCCTATCCAGGATCCCCGGATGTATTTGATTTTGATATGCGCAGTGAGATTGCGCTTCTGGTGAGTAGGCAATCTATCTATACCTTTACATCCAGATACCGGACCATACCCACAGTGATTGGAGTTGATTATTATTGATTATAATTTTGGACTATAAATTATTACTGTACTGGACATATGATATCTGTTCATTTATTTATCTCTTTGCTGAAGGTTGAGCTTTTTTTGTAGCGCTGCACTCCCCATTGTTAGAGCTGTTATACCTAATAATGTGACACTGAAAAGGTAACCAAAGTTTATAAATAGTGGCAAGCTTTAGCTAAAGGAACATGGTCATTAAAATATTTGCTTTCAGAGAGTATTCAAAACGTACCTCGCAGTATTCTCTCCTCATGGCAACGAAGAAAATCCCAAATTCTAACTGTGCCGTCATCTGAACAGGTAGCAAATTTATTATCCGTAGGGGGAGAAACTGTTGCATGGAAACAAGCATTATAGGAAATTGTCAGAAACAATGAAGCACTCAATGCTCCCTACTAATTGAAACAAATTCTATGCATATTATGGGGCAGGCTTGTATTTCATGGCTGAAGTTTAACTTTTAAACTTTGTGCTATTTGAAATGAAACCAATATCCTACAAAGAAGATGTTAAAGATTAATAGTAAGACACATTGCATTTTAGACACATGGGGATTGATTTATTAAAGGCAAAAAGGCTATTCCTTTTGCAAGGGAATTTTCCCCTAGATTAGTGAATGTAGTTAAAATTCACTCTGCAAAGTCTATCTTTCTTTAGTAAATCAACCCCACAGAATCTGTTAATAGAAGTCTGTCCTCCTTTTTTAAAATTTTTAAAAGTAAACATTCTGCAGAGGCACAAGATGCCTGACAATACTTCTATGTATTAGCAAAAATGTAGTCTGCTCTTCAGTATGGTTTCATTTCACTTTGTTACTGGAGTCTCATTTTCCCTGAGTATTCAACAGCAAAGACGAAGATATGATTCATATTCAAACAGTGGTTACTGTATGTGGTTCTAAGCAGGACTATGGTGGCAACCTTTGCAGTTGATCATCCTTGAAATAAATACTTGGTCTAGACATCTCAAGCATTACACATGCCTCAAAATTATCTAGTTGGAATAACAGGTAATTTGACCTCTTTGAAAAGTCATATTTCAAGGTAAATCCATCCAAATTCAATATGGGAAAGATACAATTATTAAATTGATTCTGTCATCTGGGCATGCTTCCTGAAAAAGAAGTTGTTGAATACAACCCTTCTGCCCCCACTGCCACTCTGTATTCATGAATCACAACTGGCTGAAGATTCTTCTGCATCAGACTTATCTAGGCGTGTCTGATATTTAGCCATCCACTGCACTGTATGGTTCCTTATGTTGACCCCTACATCAATACAGGACATGGACAGTGAACAACAGAACGCAGTAGGTGACCAGGCATCTGACACGTGGAAGTGTGTAGGACGCTGACATCTAACATCAGGTACCGCAAGCTATGTAACAAACATTTTTGCTACAAAAACATTCAGGGTTCTATTGCATGTATTGGACCAAGTTTACAAAACAAATCAATGTTTCAGACCTAGTGGTCTTCTTCAGATGTACTTGAAGAATGCCAATAGGTCAGAAATGTTGTTCCTAGGGATGCGCTGAAACCAATTTTTTTTTTTTTTTTAACACCAAGTAGGAGTACAGATACTTTTTTTTAACATACTTGCTGATGCCGATTAACCAATACCTATGAAGACTAGGTAGAAGGGTGGTTTGAGAGGTGTTGGATGGGAGGAGTTAGGGAGTTGGAGTGTTTGTGCGATACAGGAAAACATGTAATTTCACACATTACAGCACTGCATTTGGTGTGAACAAGCCCTAAAATGTACCCTGTGAGGCATAGTTCAGTTGTCTGTAGGTTGTAAACCCCCCCTACCCCAAATCCCCCCTTAACACATATCCCCCCCATCCACTCCTCCTAGCACAACCCTCCCTAAGTCCCCCTCCTAGCACAAGTCCCCCCGCCCCAAATCAACGTCCCAGCAAAACCACCCCCAAATCCACTGCTAGCACAACACCCCCCCAAATCTCCCCTCCTAGCATAACCCCCCTAAATCTACCACCTTCCTAGCACACATTCTGTACCTACAGTAGTGACAGCAGCAGGGAAGGGGAGAGAGCCAGGAGGGGGTAAGGGTTGTGCTCTCTCCCTCCCCCCAGCTACTCTGAGCGATCCTCGATCCAGTAAGCTCCTGTGCTGAGTGAGGCATAGAGAGCACTTTAACTAGAGAGTTCCTCTCCTGCGCTTATTAAGGGTGGTCAGTGTATAAAAAAAGCAGCCAACATTCTATCTTATACCTTATAAGTAAATGTGCAAAACAATAATAATAGTGTGGCGTTATACCATGAAAAGTATAAATATATAAATATATATATATATATATATATACATACACACACACACACACACACACACACACCTTAATCAGTGATAATAAATGAGATCCATTACAAAATACATTCAAAAAAGATTCCAGATTTATCCAAGAGCTTTGTGGACATTTAGGGATTTTTTGTTAATCTGTAACTGGAATCTTTTTGGAATGTAATTTTGATTGTATTTTATATATAAACTCACTTTGTTTTAGGAGAGTATTCCCCCTATTTGGGGAGTCACAGATGTTTTGCACTAGTTTGTGTGGGGGGGCTTTTGTTTGTTTTTTTTGCAATTTTGAATCCCGTGTAGGGATAACCCTGGGGATTTGTTTTGATTGGTTTGTTCTTTCACTGTATGAGGTCCTGGGGAGGACCAGTTTTCACATTATTGGGCATTACGCAGTTTTTGGCACCTATTAGATCCGTATTGGATCAGATCACTATAGATTTGTTTTTTGCACGTATCTTTAATTTATTTTTCATATCATTTATTATCACTGATTAAGGTGATAATAGGTGATAGAGAGCACTTTAATATCCTGCAGAGATGCAGATAGCTCAGCCTGCACCTCCCCCACTTTCTGCTCCTCTCTGTACAGAAAGATGAGCTGGCCACCTTACCACATCCTACCAAAGGAGGACTTGCCGGCAATGGCACAGAGAGCGGGAAAGGTGCGGGCTGACCTCTCTGCATCTTCTGTACACAGGATTTTACAGTGCTCTCTGCTTCTATAGTACAGGAGCTAACAGAGGATCAATGATAACTAATGCCGGTATTCTTTTTTTTTTTACATTTCAGCTGTCAGCAGGAGAACCCCGCTGACAATTGATATGTTATCAGTTGTTAAGGACCCGGTGGCCCCCTGCTTAACAACCGATAATTGCCGGCATTCGTTGGTTTACATTTCCTGCTGAAAGAACCAAACATGAAGGTATCGGTTTTTTTAGTATCAGCGCATTTGCACGAGTACAGATACTCGTGCAAATGCTTAGTATTGGTGCAACCCTAGTTTTGCCTATTTTTGTAGTATTCATTTATGAATTGTTAGTCTCCAAGCAAGCAGAGTCCTGGATATCGGTAACATTAGAAAAGGACTTGCCCAGGATGTGAACCTTATGAGTTAGATAGGCCATTTCAAGGGATACACGCACACACAGTATACTGTATCATCTAACACTACCTTCATTAGCTAGAAAACACTCCTATGGAGCACATGGTTATACCCCCTTAAAGGGGGCTTGAATTCTCTGAGGTTAGCATTAAGTCCCTAGCTATCAGCCATCTCCTGCTTTGTTCAATGAGAGCAGTTCAGCGATTGCCGAAATCACTCTTAGCTGGGAGAAGGGGAACACATAGGTAGTTATAGGTATGAAATGGAAGAAGGAACTGTGCTGTTTGCTTTTGGACTTGTAGACTTTTTTTTTTAATTAGTTAAAAGACTTGTTCCGTTTAGGTTAAAAAGAAAAAGATTTTTTTACAGTTTGTAGAATGATAATAGATAAAACAATGACCAAACATGTAGTCAGATATAAAATGACCCACTTAACAATTATGTATTTGAAATACCCTTACATTTCTAAATACTGCAAAAGCCTATTTTTATAGTAGGCCTTTTATAGGGATAAGAAGGAGCAGCACTACAATTAGACTGTATAATACTGCACATTACACAGATGAATGGCTCAATATCCAATCACAAGGTGGTACAGACCTTGATTAAGCTGTATAACAGGGATGTCTAAATTAGAACATTTAACAGAATCACATTGTTTGACAGTGAAGTCTGCACACGCCTGTTTCATCTGTAATGTAAATGTTTGCCTTTACTTCCCCCTTTAAATATTACAAGTGATTACGGTATGCAGAGTTCTAATAAACTAAACTTAATGCTTTATTTAAAATAGCATACCATATAAAGCATTAACTACTACTGCATGTGTACCTTGCCTTCAAAGATTGAAAGCTTTTCTTGGGACTAGTTTCCTTTCCTTTTGTTTCATATATTTGAATAACTATGTGTGATGATGATTGCTATAGTGCGAGAATAACCTTTTTATTGTACAACAGAAATAACATAGAATGTGGCTTTATAAAGTATAAGGATACAGGATTTTATTCTTATGATTATAATACTATATAACCTCATATATTTCCATATTTTAAAACATATTGGGGGAGATTTACTTAAACTGGTGCACACAGGATCTGGTGCAGCTGCGCATAGTAACCAAACAGATTCTAACTTTAGCTTAGCTAAAGACCTTTTGGCTATACTTCTATGAATCACAGGAGCGCAGTTAGTTCTGCACTCCTGGGACCAGTTTTTCAGCTGACAGTGGACTTTAGCCCGTCACAGAGCAAGTCTAGGCTCTGAAAAGATCCCAACCATATAGTCAAGATCCACCTAGAACCCCTGACCTGGAATCTCAGTGGTCCACTGAGAACATGAGTCAGCCCCCTGCACAGCCCATGCTTCAGTGAGCGCTGGATGGGCAAAACAGAGTGCCTCCGACTGACAGTCCTGGCTCGCTGTTCAAAGCAGAGGGGGAGAGCTGAGTAATCTTGGTCTTTGATTGCTCACTTCTCTCTGCAGAGCTGGCAGGGGACAGATGCACCATTGGATCGACCTAGGCGAGTATAATCGTTTTTGTTTTTCTGGGTTTTTTTTTCTGTTTTAACAGCCCATACTTCTCTTTTAAGCTTTGACAATAAAACCTAGAAGCTCCCGCATTGGGAAGTTGTAAAAAGATACAGAATCCAGGTACCAAATGACCACAGGAACTATATATGAAAGTTGAAGTCATATCCAAAATATTTAAAAAAAAAATACCATTTAACCCAGTTATGGTTTCAATATTTTTAAATACTTTTAATATAAATGTTTTAAGAACAGCCTCCTCTAAACCAATAGCCACACATGGGAGAGGGAAGTTGAAATGCTGTAAGTCAAATCAAGCTTTACTCTGTTGCAGTGTTTTCTTATAGGATCTCATAGGTGTCTTGCTGCTCCTT